AGAGGCTGTTGAGAACAACTGAGAACCGATACGAATCTGTTCGTGAGTACAGGTCACAACTTCGGCAAGCACGAGGTCTGAGAACCCTGAAAGTTTGACCAGTAAGAACCCTCCGCAGCTCTGACAAGGCCGAAAGCCCTTACCCCGAAAATCTGCCACACATTTCGCGGCATAGCCATCAAGGCAACATCAATAAAACTGTCATCCAGTCAAAAGCCATCATACAACTGAATGCTCGTATATGTTTCTCCTGTCTTCGGCTGGCCTTTGGCTCCTGTGGGGCCACGCGTGCGAGCCGTTTCCCTGCCAGTCCACAGCTGTCCACCTGGGCTGCGGATTTGTGGCAGCCGAACAATGATGACCCCTAAACCCTATAAACCCAAAACCTACTTTTTTGTAGGGTCCCTATAAATCCCATATTCGGGTTTACAATAAGAACCTACAAAAAAGTGGGTTTTGGGTTCTTAAGGTAAACCCTAAACCCAATGATGACCGTCCTCATGAAGGAGCCATGTGCACAGAGTCCTGAAAGGGAGCTGAAGGACACAGGAAAGCACATCCACCAAACCCGCCGAATCCCGGAGACGTTCGCAGCAAAAAGGACGGCAACAAACACTGGTCCCTTAATTCTACCCTTTTTTGACATTGTCCCGGCCACTTTCTGAAGGGTCGGTCAACTCTCATGCCTGAGACCCCTGGTCGATCAAAGGTTCACGCTTTAGCAAAATCGCAGAAGCGACACGCCGGCTCATCTAGCACCAGCAAAGCAACATGGACAACATGTCACGTGAGATGCAAACGAAAATCCTGCCTTTACCCCACGACAACAGCGTGCAAGTGCCCTGACGCGCCATGAGGAGGACATGCCGGAGAACTGTAGTGCCCTCGTCGGGCCCAATAGGACACTGCCAGCAGATTCGATGACAACACGGAACAACAGGAGCCAGAACTATCCGATTTTCTTTTTCTCCACAGGGCGTTGTCTTTCACGGAGAGCAAAGGAAATTACGTTCACTTTACATCCCCTGTACCCTGGCAAGTCAATGGTGGTGCAGCTGCATCTCGGCGAGGTCGCAAACTTTTCGTGCGCAGATCAGCAGCCACGCCGCGAATTCCTCATGATTGAAACTACATATATGTATGTGGTATAAAGATGGTGGAATACCACCTCCAGAGGCGGATTGAGGAGCGCCACGAGAAAGCGAGCCATGTTCAGCATGGCTGGGTCACAAACTTGTGAGAAGCAGATCTACTCCTGATGACTTTCTGTACGGCATGGCGACACATTAACGTAGCACAGCCCCTGGGGGCCGAGGCCCCGGAAACACTGCGCTGCGCGATAGATAGATGGCGGAATCGAGCCATGCACAGAGTTTCTCAAACTGCGAGCAGCTGCAGAAGGCGCCAAAACCGTGTCGCAGTTCGGAAGATATTATGGACATGGAAGGCTTCTGGCTGCAACTAGCTAAAAGCTCCGGACCATGCTTGGCAAGCCTGAGGATGTTGCCACAACTCTAGCTAATCACCACAGGGCAAGGTTTGGTTCCCTTTCAGGGGATGGTTGCGCGAGCGCCGCTACTGTACTGGACCGAATCGGTTTGGGGATGAGCCCAGGTCTCCGCTGCACTCCTGTTTACGAGTAAACCCTCAACCCCTAAACCCTCCCAGGCCCCATCAGAACTGTGGTGGATGATATAAAAATCCTGCATTCTCCTAAGGACCCTAAACTATGGGAATTATGGTATATTCCTTATCATGATGGGTTATGCAGGATTTATGTCATCAACCGTACCATGGCTCCAAGGCGCAGAGCTCGAAGGCCAAGCGCGCCAGGGCGCAGCGCAGGGGACCCTGGAAGCTCGAGAGCGACGCGGCTTTGCACCTTTCGGGGCTTGGGGGTTTAGGGGTTTAGGGTTTAGGGGTTTAGGGGTTTAGGGGTTTAGGGTTTAGGGTTTAGGGGTTTAGGGTTTAGGGGTTTAGGGTTTAGGGATCATAGAGCCCTCCCTTGCAGGACCCTCAGCTCCAGATAGTTTCAGAACCAAAAACCTTCCAGATGCCTAGCAGGGCCGGAAGTTTCGAGGCTAAGCCTCAGACCCTGAAGCTCAAACCTTCGGAAGCCCGAAGATGTCAACTGGCTCCTGGCATAGTGTATGGATAGTTCTCTACATTAGGATCCCTGTTGAGGCCTCCAAAATAGTACGCACAAGTGTAAAAAGCACCCAAAACCCCAAAACGGATCCCTAATTTAGAGAAGTACCCGTATCTGTTCGGTACGGCTGTGTGGGATGAAAGCTTGACATGCAGATCTAGCCCTTTGGCAGCATTCGCGACACAGACCTGCTGAAAACTCTTCAAAACTCATTTCAATAACCTTGAAACGGTAAGAGTGTTTTTTTTTTTGTT